CTTGCCCTGATGGTCCTTGTGAGAGCAAAAACTAACCTCTCACTGTGTACCAAGTACTCTTGGACTGTCTAAGAGAATTTCCATATATATAATGACAGTAACATGACATGACATTTTCCAGTTCTCAGCTTCTGCAGGTCTTCATTGTCATCTCTTTTATAGATTAAAAAAAGACCTCTGAAACTCAGACACATTGAATACCTGTTCTAAGATCAATCATGGTGAACAATGGGAAGGTGTGGGTTCTGCCAAGTCAAATGCATCACATAAAGACAAGGAGGATAATGCACTAATACCAACACTATGGATGTCTCCTGGGCCGTGGGCATTAGGGACATCACTAATCCTCAGTAACCTCATGAGTAGAATCACAATAAGAGAGGTTTAGGTCTCATATGAGTGTATAAAGTGATTGAATATGATATTAAGTATTAAGTCTAAAGATGATGCCTAGTGCATACTAAACTTATAATAGTAGTTAATTAAATATTACTCTTATATTTTACATTATTATTCTCAAAATTAACCATTGAAAGTTTCTCACTGTCTGGGGTACCAGGATTTACTTTTGGTACAGTGTATAGAATTTGTAGATTACCAAGAAGAAATGGGAAGGTAATTTTTTTCTATGATAAATAAGCTAAGAAAAGGGATTTTATGAGCAAAACATTTTACTAAGAAGGAAATAGAAAACTCACCAAGTCAGTTATTACCTATGGCAATAAAAATTAAAGAAATATTTTAATCATATTGGTATGCTTCTAAATACCAAAGGTTATTGGGGTGTAGTCTTCCTCATATACCTTTAGGAAATTATCTACCCTTTGGTGTTTCACATTCTGCAGTGATCCTAGCATTCTCTCCCTTCACTCTAGCACATACAACATTTTAAGCCTAAATGTTGGCACCATCAGGAGCACTTGTAGGGAACATTTTAGCAAGTTCCTAGGGAAACACAGACCAAAATAATTATTTCTCAAATTTGGATCACACATCAGTTAGGTTTTGTTGTATAGCCAAATACCCTAAAACCCATGGCTTTAAAACATAAACATTTCTTTCACTCATCATTTTTCCAGTTATTCTTTTAGCATGGACTAGAATAGAGTCAGCTAAATTGCCACCTTGTACTCAAATGTATGACCTATCAACTTCCTTCAACTTTCTCAATGCCTAAGAGACACAAATTAGAGTGAATTGATGGAACAATAGGCATAGCTATCCATATTCAGATTTGGGGAGGGGTCCCAGGGCATAATTGTGAAAAAAGATAATATAATTTCCTTCCTTAGTATTTTATTGACACTCTTTATCTCTGAGGTTGAGCCAGTGCACTCTGCCCCCTGCTCAGACAGCCCCAACCCAACCGCCCCCTAAATGCAGTGTCAACTAAGTCACTATTTCTCTGCAATAGCACATTCTCTTCAAAAATCCATTTTCTCGGGACTTGAGAAAAAGAGAGTCTTCCCCTCTTGATGGAAAGAATGGCAAGGACACATTGCAAGAATGTGGATGCCGAGATAGGAGGAAATTGTGCCTATTTTGTAATCAAGCACAGGTCACACTATGGATCTCGAGATGTACCATGCCATCCATGTTTGCCAGGTAGCGCATAAATGTTGCTGTGTTAAGGAGAACAAGGCAACTCTTTCTAACGCTCTCTTTTTTCTTAATCCTATTTAAAAACTGTTCCTGGATGTCAGTAATTCTAAACCTAAAATAGCTGCCTCAGCCTCAGTCAAACAGCCTTTAAGCTCTTTAGAATGCATTCATCACACAGTGGAGAGGTGACAGACGCACTCCTAAGAGGAAATCCCAAGACCAAAATATAATCTGTCACTTCCGACAGAAGATGGCATGTGTTCTCGGGGCAGGGGGTAGGGCAGAAGTTGCAGTAGACCCTGCAGAGAACGCTGTTCACAGCTACCACCCATTGTGTGGTACAGAAACATGGTGAGGCGTCAGGGGACTTGTGGAGAAGGTGGGCAATGAGTGACTCCCACCCTCTGAAAGGGTGATGTAATGAGCTCTGCTGCTTTGAGGAAATAATAGACAGAGCTTGATTGATGGTGGGAAAGGTCCTCTAACTGAATGGAGTTGGGAATGATGCTTGATGTCCCTCCCCAAACCACAAAGCTGTTGGGCTATTAGCAGACAGCTAGCTCCACTCCCAGCTGGGGACAGGAAACGTTAAGGAGAAGCAGCCAGTGACCAAACTCAAATGATCTTTTAGCTTCTGAGAGAGGCATTCTGACATGTCATCCTAGTATTCCCCCAGACCCAGGCAGAGCTCCATGCTCCTGATTTCTGTAGATTCAATTAGATAGACTCCCATCCCTCTGTCCCTACGGCCAGGTCACCACCTGAATTCACGCTCTATTGCTGTTGCTCAGACCCTACGAGAGCTTCCCATCCCGGGCTTCACTCCTGTCTGTCGATCCTGTCCAGTTTGCAAAGCGCAGTTCCAGCCATGACACTATCACAGAGCTGTCAGAATCAAGGTCACATATTTTCGTGATACTCTCCCCTGTATCTCTGTCCTTCCCACTTCTACACAGCTCAATTCTTCATATTCGAGGCAGCCTTCCCACACTCCTTTGGAACAGTTATTAGAAACTACTTGTGGCTCCTTAAAATGTGACAAGCTTTTTTAGGCATCCAAGTCTTGTACATTTTGTTCCTTCTTCCAGGAAATGCTGTCCCTACCCCCATGTCATCTAAGACTTACTCATCTTTTTATATTCAGCTCAAGCATCAACTCTTCCAAGAAACCTTTTTTGAGCTTTCTAATCCAATATAGACGCTCCTCCCCTGTATTCCTATCCTGCCCATGGCCTCGCCACATTGTGCTGAAATGGGTACTCTAAGGCCAGTGTCTGCTACAATTCCATAAGGCTGCATTTTATTCAACACTCCCATGTTAAACACAAAGCAAAAGTTGACTAATGAGCAGATGGATTGATAAATAGAAACAGTTGTCTGCATTTGACTCCCCTTTCATACTGTGGTACAAAATTCTCTCTTGGAATCTACAAGGTGATTAATTTATTGTCAATATCAATTACAAATACTACCTACTTCTTAAGTTTATCTAGTGAATTCTACCTTCAACTTAGACATATGGCCAGATATGCCCCTGACAAGTGCCTCCCCTCAAAATTGTCCCTTTCATTTTTCCATTTCAAATCTCATCTTGCAAAACCCTAAGTGTTGTAAACCTTTCTCCAGACAGGTTTGATGACCTGGGATGGATGTGTAAAGTCAGCACCATGAAGAAATTGTGACCTCTGTTGTTGTTCAAACAAGTGGCCCCAAATAGCCTGGGCTGTCTTTATTTATGCAGTTTTAATGGTTTGCATGACCAGTTTTACAATCAGGTTTTACTTACTAAGTTTCTAAAATGATTACAATAATTATCATTTGTTCCTTACCTCTTTCCCCTTCCATTCTCCAACTTTCCCAGTGGCAGCCATTACCCTTTTGATCTATATCTCTACTGTAGAAGCATAAGCAGCCTTGCAAGCTACAAAGGAAATTTTCTAACTAGGCACACTTACAGCTAGAATAGTGTGCCCAGTTGGCAGCATATGCAGTTACAGTGTCATACAGGGTGAAAGACAATTTTTGTCTCTTGTGGTTAATATTTGCTTCTGTTAGGGTCTGAGTTCTCATGACCAACTCACCAGCCAAACCTGGATCAATTCATTCTACATTCTGTACTGCTCTATCTACTCTGGGGACATACCAGATTCTTCTGTTTATCCTGTAAGCAACATAACTTGGAAACTTACTCTTAATAGCTGGCACTGTTTATTCCTTGTACTTATGATATTCTCCCTTAACTTCTTGGGTATTGGCACAGTTATTAAGAATAAGGGAACTGTGGCTTTCTACGATTCTGCTTCATTTCCTGTTCCTAGGCTGTTCATTAACTCTTGATACCATCTATTTAACAACATTTCTCCAAGACTCTTGTGGTTAATATCATTCATTCTAGAACAGTTATGCAAATATATAATATTAAAGTTAATGACCTATTGTGACTCATTCAGGCTAGCAGTATGGTTGGCATAGTGAAAGCAAGGAGAGCACATAACATACGTGCTCTAGGAATCACATCCAGAATCTTGCAGTAAACTGTCCACAGATCTTTGCCAAGTGGGTCTATGTCTCTAGGGTCTTGCCACAAGGAGTGAATTCATGCTATTCACAGGGCTTGTTCCCCAAACAAGTCACAAGTCTCCCAACACTCAAAGAAGAGAAAAATATAATATAAAATATCTTTAAAATGAAGGGAGAATATCCAAAAATGATAAGTCCTTCTAATTATATTATGGTTTTGTTTCAGAAACTCTCCCTTTCATTGTCTTTATCTAACAATGTGAGATTAGTCACATGGGCACTTTCATTTCCTTGTATACCTGACAAAATTTGAGCCTGTGTAAGTTCTTCAATTTCACTGGAATGATAGAATAATAAAACGCAAAATGTCAACGCAGATTATTTTTAAATTTTCCCCAGTTCAGTTTTCAAAAAGATTTTGCTTGTATGAAAAAGAAAAACCTTAAATGTAAGAAGAAAGTTGACCAAGTTTGGTTAGAAGTAATATAGGGATAGATTCCAGGTTCCCTAATCACATATCTAGTGAGAATTATTCTATAAGTAACATTCATAAAGTGAGAGAGATTGGCAATTCTTTGCTAAAGGATGCCAATAAAGGTTTTTCTTGGCTCATGTCCCAATCTCCATGATCTCATCAAGGAATGCAGTTTCTTCCTATAAACAAGCTTATCTCAGAGCTGTGCCCAAGTTCATGACAATGTAGCCTGCCCTACACATCTGCTGGGAGGCCAGCTTGCTTCTAGGACAAGTCTATAGTCTGTATGCAAGCCCAGCGACAGTGTGAAGGAGTGGGTGGAAAAGAAAGAGAAAAAAACCAGAAAGGACTAACTAAAGAACTCTTAAGAAAAGTAGTTCTATAGAGTTACACACCACAATAATTTTCCTTGCTCCAAAGATGTATAAATTCAGCTTTAATAATATGCAAATACATAGTCAACATATGTACTATGATGATGGTGTCTACCTAAAGTTTAAAGCCAAGGCATCCTGCTGCCTCAAATTATTGAAATAACTGTAGTTGATCTCATGATTACACTCCTGCTACACAATTCTTTCACTCTTAGGCTGTTTCTTTGTTTTTCCCAGTGATGCCCTGGTGGTATGACTTTGATCCTCATCCTCCAGTGATTTGAGTTCCTGATCACACTTTCTTCAGACTGCTCTCTGATCACATCTAGACAACAGAAAGAGGAGAAATGGAACAGATTACCTGCATGATAATTATAATCTTTGGGTAAGAGCAGTAACTTCCTCTTAGGTAAATTTCAGTAAATATTGCCAAGATCATTCAGGACTGCTTCTGGAAAGTTTGAGGAAAGCCTATCCCATTTAGGGACAAAAATCTCTAAACAAACAGATCCCAGAATTGTAATAAGTGGCATGCTTTTCTTTCCCCTGTTTGATCATCAAATACACATACTATACTACCAGGGAGTAGAACACCATTTAATGGTGTCAAGTACTATATCATGGGCCCTTTGCTGTGATATGATATGCAAGATCTATACCAATGGATTAAATGTTGTTAAGCTTCTGACAGTGGTATTTGCAGAGGTCCTAAAGGCAAGAAAGGAAAATATACTCTTGTCTGAATTACTCACCCTTCCAGAATGGGATGAATTCAGTATAGTCCATTTTTCATTAAATGTGTAGTTGGTTTTCTTAGGAAGTGCTTCTAAGCCTTGGTTTCATTGTAAGTAACTTTTGGCAGAAGGAGATATATCTGTCTTGGGAAATGAGAGCCCATGTTTAAACTTTTAGGTCCTTGCATGGTTCTTCTTTACTGCCATGATTTCATTATGTGACCATTAGGCCAGCACTCACCCATGGAAGAAACTTTTTAACATAAACTGACTAAGTTATCACTACTTGTTGGTTATGTTGAATCTATTCCATCACTAGGGTACTTTATTAAGTATTAATATCATTTGATTTGTTTAGAAAGTTTTCAAATTTTGTATACACTCTTACACACTCACCCATATACCTCAACTCCATGGTTTTTTTTTTTTGCCTTTACCTTCAACTTTTTATATTATTATTTAGATAGTTAACAAGTCCTCCAGGCAATTTTACTTCCTACAAATCCAAATAGATCAACCTTGTGATACTTTTCTCTCAACAACTAGTTTATGATTGTTTGGCATGAATTTTACTTAATAAGATTTTTCTTGAAAGTCTTTTATGTCTATTCACGAGTGACCATGTAATGTTCCTGATATCCATTTTTAGCATATACCCAAACAAAGGACAGATCCTATATTAAACATAATTCAGTTGTTTTAGTTTTACACATGCTGAGTATAAGGTTATTGCAATGTCTCAATATATGAACTGAGAGGTGCTATTGATGCTACAGAGGTTGGTTCCTGTACAAATTGTTTGTCCATGCCTTTTATCTTTCATTTATTCAGCAGCATATGAGTCTGCCCTGCCTTAATGATTTTATGGGTCTAATTAAATCAACGTTCTAATGAGGTCTAGAGGAATGATCACAGGGGGTTTCATGATTCTGCAAATTCTGTCTCTATAAGGGTCCAATAGTATGTTAGATGTTGCTTCAGAGAGAGTTCAATTCTCACTGTAGGTAGCTTGGTCTTGCTCTAGACACACAAAATATCATATAATTATCCTGTTGGTACCTGTCATAAACTTCAGAGGCTCTTATCTCCCACTGTCTATACTTACACATGAATCATACTTTCAGAGGCTGTGACAACATACCTAAAGAAATCAACTTAAACGATGAAATGAGTATTTTGGCTCACAGTTTTAGAGGGTTGAGCTTGCCTGGACAGGGACAAAGTAGTAGAGCAGCTTACCTAGTGGTGGGCAGGGAGCAAAGAAATAGAGTGAGAGAATGATTGAGTGCATGCTTTCTCCTTTCCCCCTTTTAATCAATCTCATTCCCCCATCAGCTATGGAATAATACTACCCACACTCAAGGAAGATCTTCTCCTCTTAGTTAATTGTTTCTGCAAATACATTCAGAGGTAAGCTCTCCTAATATACTAGGTCTTCCAATCTGATCAAGTTGGTAAGATTACCTGCCATCTAAGACCGACTGTTTAGATGACCAAAGTGTCGTTCTAAATCTTCTAGAGTAATTTTTTGCTCTAAACTCCATTAAAAGCAGACAGCCTTCTGTATTACTTGATGTATGGGATGAAGCAGTAATTTCAGATATGAAAAAAATCTGCTTCTAGATCCTGAGAGGGCTATAGATCTTTTCTTCCTTTTTGTGGAAGGAGCAAGAAAAAAATACTTTGTCTTTAATTTGAAGGTAATATTCTAAACTGCTCTGGCCATTCAACTCTTATGAATTTACTGGTGTAGTATCACCCACATTTTCTTTGAGTTTCTGTCTACCCTCCTGAGAGCATACATTTTATCAAGGCCTCAGAGATACTAGTCACTTCTCATTTTCTCAATTTGATTAGTCTGGCATCTTTAATTTCACATATCAACTTGATGTTCTTTGAAATATTTAAAATATCTAGATCACTTTGGACTATATTATGACAGAAGACAGAAAACAGTATAGTCATGGAGAGATACAAAATGAAAATATATATTGTCAAATTCATACAGGCAAACCATTTCTGATCTTACTACAAGAAGGGCTAAGAAACTACACATTTGGCAAATCACATATCTGAAGCCATGCTAACCTTACTTAGAAGTAAATACCTCATCAGACATAAGAAATACAACAATGATTACAAGCTGGTTGTATTTATGAGTAGAAAGTTGGTTTTCCTAAGAAAGTGGAGATGTGATGGGGAACACTGCTCCTGACTCCTTTAGATCTGTAACAGTAGCACTAATTCTGTGCTCCTCACCAATAGGATGCAGCAAAGTCAGACACTTGTATTTTACTCCCTCCAGGATGAGATGCTTTGGCCTGACAGAAAAAAAAAACCCAATGTAGAGGTTACAGAAATGTTCAGGTGTATCCAACTCATTTATATTTTGTAACTAAGACCTAAACAACTTACAACTTGGATTTTATCAGGATCTATAGTTTTACCTTTGTGGAGAGATAACCAAAAACACTGCACATCTTCTGGTATCAGTGTTAATCCTAACCAAAACACTGCACGTCTTCTGGTATCAGTGTTAATCCTATCACATTATGTTCTGCAGCTTTTGAAATATTTGGACATAACCCCTTCACACCATGCCTCAGAAAATCACCATACATTTTGGGAGTGGACTGGAAAACTCATTACTGTGTATCCTGGACGTGGCATCGCAGAATTTTTCTTCCCATCTCCAGGGCTCTGTCTTTTTTTTTTTTTAACAAATAATTTCTGGATTAAAAATAGCAAACCAAAAAACTAAGGACCAGAAAGTAAGGAAAGAACAATGGTTTCTACTGTGTCTTTATAGTGTCTACTTCACTGTATTGACTTCTCCATGTCTTTTTTTTACTTAATTTTCTCTGTCTCCTTTGGAAAATTTGGCATTTCATTTTCATTCTGTGAGATACCACCTTTCTGTAATTCCAGAAGTCATCTTTTTATTTTTTAACAAGTTTGCTATATCTGTGAGATCTTTGCCAATAATAAACCCTACATAACAAAAGAACACTCCTAATTCAAGGAAACTTCACTAATCCAACAATGTATTTCAGTCCACCTGAGGAAACACCATTGGTTCCATACATCCCCTACGCTACTTCATTCAGCACATCCCAGAGCTGTTCAGACCTCTTACACTTAGATATAGTCTTATAGGTTTATATATTAATTCTAACAACCAAGATGTAAGATGGAGAATATACTAGGGTAGGGGTGGATGAGGAGGTAGGGGAGGATGCATGGTGTTTTCTAGAAAAGAATGCTACATTTTCTTCAAGCAAGAATACAGGTATGCTAGCTTTTCACAGGGATACATGAGCCACTTGTGTAAGTAGAAAGGGTTTAGATTAATTTAGAAATTCAAACAAGATTGCTGGTGGCATCAATTTAAATATCCTTATTTTGTATGTTCTTTCCTAACCAGAGTCCCTAACTTAGCATGGTAGCTTACTGTGTTTGGGAGTTCAGTTTTCTTAAGAGCTCAGTTGCTTCTCAATGCGGTGCTGATTTACACCCCACAGCTTTCTTTATCTTCCACTGCATAAAAAAACAGTCCTTTTGTAGTCTGTCAAAAAGGTTTCAGAGTTTCACACTTGGTGTTGCAATTGCTTGCTTATTATATTCTTTACATGTCTGTCTTCTGTTTGTGTTGGCCAACTGCTCCTGGGCATGAGATCTCCCCTGGAGAGTGGTTGATATACCCAGTGACACTTCCTTAGAAAAAGAAACTGTTTTCCCTTTCCCAGTAGGTATAAACTGCAAATAGCTTCTTATTTATGGGTGGGACTTCCTGTCTACTTCTCCATGCTGGAATTTTGTCTGGGTTGAACCTGTACAAGTCTTGTATGTGCTGTCACAGTCTCTATGAGCTTATATGAGTATCCATCTTGTTGATCTAAAAGACATTTTTTCCTTGGAATCATCCACAACCTCTGGCTCTTATAATCTTTCTGCCTCCTCTTCTACATAGACTGAACCTTGAGGAGAAGGTATTGATAAAGACATCCCATTTAGAGTTGAGCATGCCAAAGTCTCTACACATTATATAGTTGTGGGATTCTATGCTAATTCCCATCTACTGCAACAAGCTTCTTCGATGAGTTGAGCAATGCACTGTTATATGGGTTATATGAATGTAGCTATGTCAATAGCAGTCATTTTGTTGTTATATTCCTTTAGCAAAAACAAAAAATAGTGGAAGTTTTCCCCATGGGCAAAGACCTAACTAGTTTCCCATTCTTAGTCTCTTTAGCAGAATCAGATATGAGCTCCATCTCAAGAAGGGGGCCTTAAATCCAAATAAAAAGTGGTTGGTTATTCCTATAATGTTTGTGCCATTATTGCACCAGTATATCTAGAAGGCTAGTTGCTGTTGTATGTTTTTGGAATTATATCAGTGATATTGATGGTTTCTTTGTTCTTCTGGCAGTGTGCAAAGTACTTTCTAGCCCAATGAGCGCTAGACAGTAATATGAAGCTTCTTTCTGAGCACCAGCTTGATTTTCACACAATAAATGACATAAGTAAGTGGTATCTTCAGTAATAGGGCCTTACAATCAGGTTTTGGGGTCAGACCAATAGCCTTTGAAATATCCTATGATACTTGGGAGCATAGCTGATAGTTTGACCAGTGACTAAATAATATGTAACCCATTCTTGGCACTGGAGGTTTTACTTGGTGACATAAGATATCTAGTTAGAGCATTATCTCCCTCACTACATGGTGACTCCAATTAAACTCCTTTCATACATGCATACAATTTAAGAAGCATCTCGAGTAGTTGGTTTATATAAGACTTTTTATAACACCTTTACTTTTGCTCATCCCTCCCTACATTCCTTCCTTTACCTGGTCTTTACATTTCCCCTACCTATTTAATCCTCCTATTCTAGCTTCTCCTTTATCTCTTTATAACATTATGTTCTATTGCCCCTTCCTTGATATATGTTTTCTTTGCATACCAGCAGAGACAGCTGATCTGAACAGGGGAGTGCTCTTGGACCCCAGACTGACAGTGGGGAGGCCAGCATGGGACTGATCTGGACCCCCCCAAATGTGAGTGTCAGTGAGAAGGCCTGGGCAACCTATGGGGCCCTGAGCTGTGGATCAGTGTCTATCCCTGGTATACAAACTGTCTTCATGAGCCTATAGCACAAAGAGACATGCTCTCTCAGCCTGGACTCTTAGGGGA